ACAATTATTATAATGATACCGTTACCCACGCTAAGGATGTACAAAGGTTGTCAGAGAGATTGCCACAAATTTACGGTAGTTCGTACTTCTTCGTCGTCATCGTCGTCGTCATAAATAGAAAACTTCCACCATTTCTATGATGTATTGTAATACACGACAAACGATGTCTAATAATTTGTATGCTCGTGTTGTGGTTAACTTATTGAAAGCAAATAATCTGTTCCCAGTGAAATCATAGCCGAAATGTAAATCATTAGGGAAATTTAAATCCCACGTGCGCTCGTTCGCTCGCCACGAAATCGAAACATATGACATGGAAACTAAACCACATCCTTGATTCATTTTACCGTAAGCAACCGTACTACATTCCCTGTCATAATCCAGTTTTCACCAACAGCTTTCTAATGAGTTGAATTCCGCATAAAATTTCACCAAAAATTCTCGTCTTAAAGTCATTATGACACAATTTTCGTACAACATGCTGCAATTTTTGTTGTTTTTTTCTCTCGCATGAGTCTTCGACATATTTTTACATGTTCCACGCACATATTGCTCGGATGAACTCAAAACATGTCGAGAACACTTCTCCTGAGATGAGCACAATTTCTCGAGAACACATCTCTTGAGCTCGTTGAAAAAAAAGTCATTCAATGTTAAATCGAATGTGCACACGTTCTTGTACGGAGAGAGTTTGTCTGACCGGTCAATCGCTTTGGACTTATCGAATTCCCATAATTCAATTGTGAAGGGTTACGTCGCTGTTTTTTCTCTCTATCACTCGACGAGCCACCAAAGTCAAAAGAAAAAAAAATGCATTGGTACAAGAGAGTGGAATCGATAAAGTGTGTAGCATCGATAGCTAAATCCCAAGAGTCTGCAATTTTCTTGTTGCTGCTTTGTTTCGTCGTACAATGCCCTTGTGTATTTTACATATTTCTCACACACATACAAAAATCTGCTGCGGTTTTTGCTTTCTCTTTTCCAACTGTGCATATATACCATTTTAAACAAGTTCGACGAGAGAGTGCGGTTCAGCGCTTCATGGGTTCAACATGTTCGATTGAACAAAGTGCATGAACAACATAACTCGAGATTGTGATCGATAATCGAACAAGACCGAAATGGTCATGTTCGTGTCTGTTCATGTGTGCGTGTTTCTGTGCCTGTGCACTGGTTAAATGGCATCATCGGCAAATTACAATCCATAAAATGTTTGAATTCCAATGAGATGAGATGGCTTCGGCCATTTTTCATTCTATTTGCTTCAATTACTTATCCATAATCCGGCATCCGGATGTGATAAACCGACATAAAACAACAAAATCGCTCGTATCGATATTTACAGTTTACAAAATGGCTTTACCAGAATACGAGAACAGTCGACTTAGTGTGTGTGTGCTTGTATGCTTAAGGAATCGGGAACTATTTGCCAATTCAAGCAAACATTAACCCAAAATGCATCAATGGTATTAAATTTAGACTTTCAACTTGATTTTATTCCTGGCAAATGGATACACATCGCTTTCAATGTTAATGGGATTCATTCAGTTGATTTGATCGTATACCTCGATATGCATAGATAGTTATTAGGTAATCACACTTCATGGATTTGTTATCAACGATCATATCATTTGAGCTGATTCTATCGTTTGACTTCCTCGGTTCTCGTTTGATGCTTTTTTTCTTCTCCATACAAAATCGATTAGATCCGACAAACGAGTTCTTTTTACACATTGGAAACGGAATGGCTGAAAACCTCATCTCATCAATTTTTTATCGATTCTACACGGCAAAACCAACAGTGTGCGGTAACGATGCGTTCCCAACGTAAAATCCTTTTCATAACTTTGTGCATACAGAATGTAATTGCTTCTGTGAATACATATAAATTTTTCGAGCGAATTGCACACAATTTCCCATCTGGTATAACTCTGGCAAAAGTGCATATTAAACACTAGATTAAGATACTGTAGTTGAAGTGAATTTTGTTTGTGGAATTAACCTATTAGCAAATCGAACATGATTCACAGCCATTTCTCTCTAGTTCGAACCACTGAATCTGCGAATGTCGATCAATCTGATTACACCTCTATCCGTATCATTCATTTATGACACACGAACAAGTAACACGAAACACCAAAGCGATTCATGCCAATTGATCGATCGAACGAATCGATTGAGGAAGTTTGATATATGGTGAACAGACGCACGGTTTAGCATCGACTACTACCAAAAAAAAATTCCTCAAATATTTCGTAGCGCGCGCTCGTTTTGTCGATGCCATGAAAAATTCATTGATTACACTCGCTCTCGCTCTCTCCGGTCTCCATGTTACAGTCGGTTTGGTCGATTTACTGGAAGATTTATAAGGTAACGGGTAAGAAAATAACTGCTGGTATTGCATTACAGTTTTAGTACTCAAACACACGCTCTCTCAACCGTATCGAATGATTTAGGTCATTCACGTGGATATCGCACTGGATATGTGTCAATAATAGTGAAAAATGTAGTTCAATTTGAAGAATTCGTCAGTGGTATTTGAATTCTTGTCTTGCAACATGGTTTTTCTGCTTGCAAATCGACGTATTTCTGTAAGAAAAATCATTTTTCTAAAAAAAAAAAGTGAAAATGTTCATTAAAAATGGATTTTCTGTTTGAGAATGCGTCTTTTCTGCTAAACGATGGAATCCATGCCGTAGAACCACTGCAGCAAAGTAATCTGCTACATAATGAAGGAAAAAATCCAACTATTTAATTATGGAAAAAAAGAGTGCTTGAAGTCTTTTAATTAATTTTCATCGTCGACCATGTCATTTCTTTCTGTTCGAACCATTTCAAAACTTTTCTTGCCCAGAGTGTTCTCTCTGTGTGAGTGTGACACGTACGAAAAAAGAACTGACACATCCATTGCTTTGAAGAGAAGAAAGGTTGTTTGTGTGTCAAATAATTTTTAATTTAATTAGAGCTGTTAATGAGATCTCTTACTCTTTGGTTTTTTTTTTTTCGTTCACCGTATCAGGCGACTTATTCAATTAATTATTACGATGCAATCTTAATTAATAAGGAATTTAATTTCGAATTTTAGCTCCCCCCTCTCTCTCTCTCTCTCACTGTATGTGTTTTTTCCTTCGGCTCATTTCCAATTCCAGGCGCGAACCAAAAGTCATTTCGGATTGATTTTAAACGCGAAAAATGATTCTTCAAGATTGCATGATGGAAATCTTTCAGAACTAATTGCTGCTATTTTCCTTTGAAGTAGATCAACCTTATCGCATAGAAATTCAGTGGAATTGCTTGCTCGTCTTGTGGATTGTACTCAAGTTCATGTGATTAATTTTTCCACCCTAATTTTGTGTGCGCATGGATTCGTTTTTTTTTTCAATTTTCTCCAGCAAATTCAGCCTGAGATTCGTTTGATGTGTGTGTGGATATGAATTTATAAGTGCTGAGTAATCGGATTTCGAATCAAAGGTGAATTGCCACCGAGTCAAAGGTTCAAACTAAAAATGATTCATTTTCACCATGTTAAAGTCATGCTTACGTACACCGGGGCTGAACCGAACACACATCGGCAAAACTTTTCACTTGGCTTCATAAATGAGTATGCGGATACCCGGATGTATATTTTCTAAAATCGAGGATTTAGTCTGAAATTGTTGACGTGATGTGCACAAGGTAAATGTGCTATTTCGCAGCATACACACAGCAAAATCACACGCTGAGCTGGTAGACAAAGGCAGAAGTGAATGAAGTGTTCGACAGAAAAGTGGATATTCACATCAAAGCACTGGATAGATGGAGGAGCTCCATATAATGTCGTATTTAACGTGCATATTAGCCGTGATTCTCAATTCATTTAGTTTTCTCTTGCTTTTGTTATTTTTTTGAATAACACACACAGCAGAAAAAACGAGGTGATTTCCTCAGGATAAGTGTATAAAGCAGCCGATGAATATAGTGTTATCATAATGGAGAAACATCGTGAGATTCGGGTTATATTCGAAGAATATTTATTACGGATTTTCTCCCGTGTTTCGCTTCGCTGTGTGTTGTTTTTTCTTTCACCTTTTGTTGTCTTCATATGCCATTCGAACGTGTATGAGTTTTCGTTATTGCTGGTGATGTCATTTTCAGGATGTGTCTCATAAATAGAGCCCGCTCTCCCTTCATCATTTTGACCCATTCAGTGCATATAATCACACAATGTATCGATACGGCAACGTTGACATTCCAAATATGTCATGTATATATATTTTTAGCTCCCTTTTTTCCCTCAAACAGCTTCGATCCAGCCGATGGTATCGAATTTTCCATCTTGTCCACAGCGGAATCGTTCGACCAAAACCAAAGAAAAACACAGCGGAGACAAGAGTGGGTAGTTTGTCGTTGACCAAGCCGTAATATATTTTCAGGTCACGTTTTTTATTTACTCGTAAAATGAGTTTTATAGTTGATACATCTGCAAAAGTGACAGCTCGTTGGCAATGTTGTTAGTTTTTCATTTTCTCACTCTCTCTTTTCCTCTGTTGTTGGTGTAAACAAGTCACACATGCGGCCAATATGTTTGATTGCAAACGATGCTTTCGAACTTCGAGAATCACATTTCATTCCGTATGAAAACAAATGAAATATCTTATAAATATATCATTCTGGGGAAGCCGTTCAATGGATCCAGGTGACAACAATCGAATGAGAAATGATTGCCAACGAAAATGTTTTCAAGAGCTTAGGGTCTTATCTCAAGAAGTTCAACATTTTTTTCTAGATTTTTCTTTTTTTTATTTGCGGTTCAGAATTTTTTATTTTTTTATTTTTGAACTTTCCAAAGTTTTCAACACTCATTTACAAAGTTACCAGCTGAAACTAATTTTTGAAAAACTATTAAATTAAAATAATTTAGTTTAGTCTTAATTAAATTAATTATGGTTGTTAAAAATCACGTTCGCCTCCACAATCATCCACTTAATTCGGGATTGTGTATGCAATGACGATGGTTGTGCTTTCTCTCTGTCACACAGGTGCTCTTCCCATCACATATGATATGCAATTAGTATCGAATGATAACTTCTGGTTGGAAGTCAACTCTTGCCTACAAATCAAATATTTGATTGAATTTTCTGTGTACGTGGGTATGTGTGTGTTGTGGTGAAACGTTTATGATAATTATCAATAATCTTCGAACGTGCATAAATTTGGTTCGGTTTTGATTTTTACCCCAATATGAATGGCAAGCACACCGATGCCGGACGCGAGTCGAATGTCTACCTCTCCGTTTTCATCGACCGCAATTTGGTTGCCGGTACATTTGCCATTGGCATCTAGTTGCCCGGTAATTATGTCGCAGTAGACGCCGGACGGCATGCAGGTGAATAGTTTTGCGTTCATTTCGAATGGTTCAATGTTGAAGGCAACGAAGCCGCGAGTTCCACGGCAAAAGGCAATTTGATTGCGATTATTGTCCCACCACGATGCGACTGGTGCAGTGCCAACAACGCTTCGAAACTTAACCATATTACGAATTTCCGGCCAACGATGCTCACACACCCAGCCATTCTCACACTGTTCACTGGTCGAATTAATTTTCGGCGAAATTATTTCGCCATCGACTTCGGCTGGTGGTCCTACAGAAGAGAGAGGAAAACATGCACGCACACAGGTGAAAATGTAAAATCGAAATAGAAATAGTTCCATGAAAATGTTCGGATGGAGGGCGAATGAGACGCATCAATTGAAAATTATTAAATTGTTATATATCGAGAGAGTGAGAGAAATCGATACAAAACCATACCTTGATCGAATGAATCGAATTTAAATGAGCTCATTATTCGTGGATGACCGTATGGATGTGCCAGCATAAATGCTACGGCCGTGATGTATCGTTCACGCGATTTGTGTGTCAAAATATTGACGTTGTTTGAACGTTGATTATCATGATTATCAACAAAAACGAACGCTTCTTTTGACGGCAACATATTCCAATCGGGTCCCCAACTGCGCAACCATTTTAAATCGTTGCCGCCTTTGAACGCTCTACCAATTTCTTCTGAAAACTTGAACTCCGTCACCGCTGCCATGCCCGAGTACTCCGTTCTATTTATATCATGATCCATCGTAAAACAACAACAACGGCATATCGTTTTAAGGACAAGAAACAAAAATTGTAAATAAAATAGAAACAGATTGTAAAAATAGCATTGGTGACTTATTATCGTACGCAAACAACGATCAGGTCACTTTACATTCCAGCACAATGTAATAACAAATTATGACGTTTTATTTGTGAATTCGTTACGCACTTTTTGATTGCTTCTCCACCGAGATCGATGACTTCTTGATAAATGAAAGGTCTGGAATACGCCGGAAATGCTTTTGTACTGAGATTATTTAGTCGACTATAAATTTCGTACAAATCATGCGGCCACATATGTTTTGCTGCATCTATACGAAATCCAGCTACACCCAATGCCAACAATTCATTCATGAATTGCACGATTGTGTCACGAGTTTGTCCGTTTGCTTGATTCAAATCGGGTAGACCTTGAATATGTTTACAATGAACTTTGAATTAGATCATGAACCAATGGCATTTTAAATGAAAAACAATGTTTTGAATTTCAAGTAAAAAAACAGGTTCATTTTTGGATGGAAACACATTTTGAATGGTAGACGAAAAAAATATGTGCGAAAAAAATTGAGTGAAAGTAATTTAAAGAGAGATAAACCTCGTGTTCAACACGTACCAACCAATTCACAGTTCCTAACTTCGAATACATTGTCGTAATTGTTTATGTTACAAGCAGGAAAGTGAAAATTCTCTGGACCATATGGAATGCCCGGATAATCGAATTTATCAACATCGGCTGTTGAGCCACCTGTTCCAGTAATTTTCCCCTCTTTGCCAGTCATATGATTGAACACGATATCGACATAAATTCGTACACCAACTTGATTGCATCGATCAATCATCGACTTGAATTCATTGTCGTCTCCGGATCGGGTGACAAGTCTATATGAAATCGGTTGATACCGTTCCCACCACGGTCGATTTTCGACAATCACATTTTCCGTCACTGGGCTCAGTTGTACACCCGCAAAGCCGTTCGGTGCCAAATATCGTTCACACTCATCGGCTATGTCGTTCCATTTCCATTCGAATAAATGGACCATCACCGAACGATTCGGTACGTAATTCGGATGATGGAATTTATGATGAAATGCATTTGCCAATAAAATTAGCAATGTTATTAGGAACAATGCTCGAACAACTGTACTCTGACCCTTCATAGTTTTTCTGATCACGATTAATCTATTTTTAACTTCAATCAATTTAATCAATAAATTAAATCACTGATTCAAGAAATTTAAAAATGCTTATTTATAAACAGCAAGCGGATTACTTGCTCTAGAAAATGTTTATTCAATTGTAACGATCCAAGTGAAATTCACTGTTTCCGCTTGATAGAAGCTTGTTTGCGAAGTACCATTGAATGACTGGAATCCCAAGTATAAATACTGAACGATTGTCGTATTTTTTCGCTCTCACAACGATTCCTGTTTCGTGAGCAATAACAATGATTACACAGAGTAGCATAAGAGCACAAACGTAAACTAATCAAATTGATTTGTATATTTGTTTGTGTGTGGTCGATTATCTATCTATCTCTGCCTTATGTTTTCTTCTCGCTCTAGTTTGACGAAATGGATTTGTTGAGATTCTTTTTTTAAAGCGATTACCCGCACTGATAACCCATCTTGACCATTTATTTCCGATTTGCACACAACGTACGAATATACGTTCAAGCTCATTTGTAATCAACCCATTTAGCAGAGTTAAATTGCGTCCAAATTTAATAATTAGTTTAAAATCATTTTTTGATTTATGACATGCACACATTCGATCGTGACTTCAATCGACTGCCATGGCATGTGCAAATCAAATAAACACTTGATGTGAATTGGGGATTTTATCGCATAAGCACTGTAACTCATTATTCATGATTGTTGTGTGGGTGTTTTTTGCGTAAAGTTAGCCAATTCCGCCTGTTGACACAACAACATCCTGGGAGGAGGTCCATTAGTGTAAATGCGTCGCTTTTTGTAGTCCACTAAATCACCATTGGATAGAGGAATAAGAATGCATAGTCATCAGTTAAAACTGTTTCAATCTGTTGAAATTGTTTTTGTTTATACTTTTGAAAATTTCCCGATTTCAGTCCGTTTTTGTCGCTTGTGTTTTCCCATTTGATTTTTGATTACTGGTGTTTTGTAACACATTTCGTACATGTCACACTCACACACAACAGATACCGGGGCAAAGTCAAAGTCTCATGATAAATTCCAATGTCGTTACAATGGCTCATGACACTGCCATATCATCGAGCATCGGAAAAAGTTCTCTCCCACTCGCTATCAATGAATACACCAAATGAAACTGAAATTACCACAATTTGTCATCAACTGACAGCACAACAACAACATTCCAATAGAGTTTTTATGTTTGCCCGGCGAAACAAATCGATTCAAACACGAACCTCAATAGAAAACTTTCCAACAAATTTTTATTGAAAAGTGAACGAGAGAGAGCAAGGAAAAAAAAAAGAAATTGAGTGGAAATGCTTTTGAAACGTTCAAAAATTCGTACAAATTGGTTGGCTGGTTGTCATTGTGCCATCGACTAGATAGCAAAGTGCAAAGTTATCAATTGCAAATGCTGAAAAAAAACGATAGATGGAACAGAAGACAGCAAGAAAATCACAATCAATATTTCCATTTGACACACAAACAACACCATTCCAATCAATTTCATTGGAACATTGTTCGCCTTTTCTGCCATAAACACGTCTTTTTTCCCTTTTTCGCTTCTCTTGTTGCTCTCTTTTCCATTTTCTGTCCTATTTTCTCTCATTTGCCACTTTTGTTACATTTTTCTCAAGTTTTTTTTTATTCGTTCATGTCAAAGCTGAAATACATGTCTTGCATTTGGTGACAAAACGATTTACTCAGCTGCATGATTTGTACTTTAATTCGACGAGCAATAACGACGCCATTCATAGTTTAACCTGGCATTGTTTGGGTGCTTATGTCATCATGTGTTCGCTTCGATTTTGTGTCGATTTCAATCGTAAATATGTGGGAATGATATAGGCCGTACCACTTTACACGTACCATCATCTATATATATTTTGTGTGTGTGTGTGCCGCATTTCTTGGCAGTTATATTGGCATTTTTTCTCTCTCCCTCTTCGGCTCTCTCCCTCTCTCCCTCTCTCTCTCTCTCTCTCTCTCTCTTCATCTCCGTCTATCTCTGTACATCCCTGCTTCCATTTTCTTTCTCTCTCAATGTACTGTGACAAATGTTTTTATGGTTGCTTTTGACTTACTCCATTCAAATCCTTTCTGTCTCGTACGAACACTTCATACCTCGAACAAAACCAGAATTCGCACAGAGCAACTGGGACATTTTCAATACGATTGATTTGAAATAAGCCAGACAATATATGGCACAACATATTTTATAAATCAGTTCAAGCAACCCATTGCATCATATCAATGTTGAGCCAATGTCTTATTTACGGGCAACATTTCTGTGATAGGTTTATAAGAATCTATAGACAAAATCTTATATGTAAGACAAACATGAAAATGTCTTCTTTCATTCCACAACTGGTACGTCACTTTTCGAAGGAACTGGCTTAATTGAGACGTCATTTCTTAATATCACGTCATTCATGCCCATTCCAAGTGCTCAGACTTTAACTAATAATAAATATTTGTTTTGCTTTTCTCTATCCTTTCTCAGCCTGCTTTTTAAATTGCAATTATTCCAGTTTTTTCTCAATACAGGTTTTCTTCCTTCGGTCAAATTCAAATATTCAAATATTTAAACTGTTCTAGAATAGAACAAACTCGATTATCATTTACATCTCAATAAGAATACAAACTTGGAAATTATTCCCACATTTACGTCATTCATTATTTGTTTTCAAAAAAACACATTTATCCTATTGACATACGTGCTAAATCCCATGAAACTTTTCCCCTGATAACAATCGATCGAAAGCCAAACGGATTCATACTAGAACATGTTTCATTTTCAATAATCTCAATTTGTTTTTGTGCATTCTTTCTCTTTTTCGTTCAGTCGATGGTAGTTTTTGTTAGAAATAGTGGAACATTTCTAATTGAAACAAGAAATATGTGAATCTACTGACAAAGTTCGAGATTTGGCAATTTGTACCAATTATAATGCAATTGAATTGAAAATTTATTCAAATTCCCAATCGTATTTTTGTTTCTATATGAATATTTATGCCATTTGTCATGTTTTAGCAGCTAAAATAAGTGACTCTAATCGAGAAGTCATTTAGTGCTCTGTCAATCGACAATATATACGTACAACTAAAGGAAAAAACGGAATAAATAAAATTGAATTTAAGAACTGCAAGCGGTTTGAATAAAATTGCATCAATACGCGAAAAAAACCAAACTCTCTCATGGGCAGATGAATGATGTTTAATTGGAAAGTATTGATTTTCACTCACTTGCTAGATACTTCATCATTGATTTTTACACTTGATACAAGTTGGTATTGAATTATTCGTATTCGATACTCTGATTGAACGATTTAATATAAATTTATTCATTTTCTTAGAGTGACGATGTTGTAGAAGAGAAGCAATTATTCTAAATTTTTCCTAAAAATCTGTTCCATTCAAAGTTTACTGAATATTTTATTTCTTTTTTTTTCCAGACAAGTTGATGTTAAGCCAAAGAATAATCAACTTCGAGTACAAACTGTCAAAATCACACCACCATCACATGGCAATGATCATTCAACGGAGATGCATCTTGAAAATGATTCAAATGAAAATCAAGTGCATTACATTAGTAATGGCCATGACAATCACGTACATTTCATTATAACAATTATATATTCTTTCTTTACGTCACCAAAAGGAGAGTGCATCAAAACTATATACAGCGGAAATTTAAACAGAAAAACCAAATGAAATTTTATAAAAAGACTCTGACATGTATTTGTTTTATTGAATTAATAAATTGTATGAAATGTTTACATTTCGGTTTTTCAATGTGCACACTAGTTAATCTTTTTTTAACATATTTTATTATTATTGATATCAACCAGTAGTTTTGTGATTCATCCGTTCGGAATGTAGGAATATACCTATAATTGCACGCTTGTGAATTTTGTTTCAATTATCATGAGCTGCATATCAAATTCATCAGCACATGATCGATTTTCATGACCTTTTTTTCAGCAAAGTTTATTTGTTGCGTTTTAACAGGTCAATCGTAATTTATACTGCTGTAGCCACTTTTTCGTTGGCTGTGTCATGTTCAGTAAATAAACGAATGCGATAAATTACGCATTAATTTCAGTTCCAATTTGAATACATTGCAGTTCAATCATTTTTTCATATTTTTCGATTGACTCATTCAGTTACTTCATCTCACAGTGAGTTTGTGCTGCTCTAATATTCTCAAAATGAACCTTGAAAAGTGTCATAAAGTTAAGAAATTATTCTTCATCGAAAAAATGTGCTTCAAAACTGTGAAAATTCCAGACTGAAATTTTTTCTGCTTTGAAATGGGTGTAGTATTCACTATTCACTGAATAGTATTCAGTCACTTGATAGCAACGCGACTTTACAAGCTTCTTTTTCATTTCCTTCAAGGCTCTTTCAAATGTGTAGTCTAAAAAAGTTTGTGGCAGTTCTTGTGCTTTTAGCACTTTGGAGCGATCAATGCTTGAGTTTCAAAAATTGCTGCTTCGATTTCAAGTTAGTTGCTTTTTTCTTACCATAAATATATTGTTACTGAAGTTTTAATTTTATCTTATAGAAGTGTTGATAAGTCAGTTGTTAAAAATAACCATATAAAGATTCAAAATCCGAGAAATAACATTCAACCATCCGAACCGCCGATCGTACCGCCCAAACGAATTTATTTCGATGCGTCGCCCGTTATGGGCATTCTGAAGGTAAACGATTCAAATGTGTTAATAAAAACAATAAATAAAAAAAAATTTCATTCGAACAGGAACCGAACGCACCAAAGGGAACAAAAAGGGTGAAAATCGATCTTGAAAAAAATAAAATTCTGGAAATACCCGATGAATCCGAATTAAGAAAAAGCAATAACTATGTTCCGAATCGTTAATACAGAGGAGTTGGTGAATAGTCACGAAAAATTGCCTAAAGAATTTCGTGTTCTTTTTGTCATATGTAAATTATTTGATTGTTCATTGTTAGAAACATAACCAATGTTACAAATAAAATGCTGACGAATTGAAAATAAAACTGATATTTATCCCAAAGTTTATCTTCACTAGAAGAAATAAAAATCTTAGGAAAAAAAAATTACTTGATTTCTGATCATTCGAAGTGTGCACCACATAATCGCCGCTTTCCACTTAACTACCCATTTTCGCCACGGAAAAGAATATCAAACGATCCACACCGTGGCAGCATGAGCATATACCACTAGCGACATCTTGTTGCACGCTATGGTAATGCCCTGTTTGTTTGTATATATTTGACGTTAATTTCAACACATTACTATATTGGGCAACAAAGTGTCGCCTGTGGTATATTGCTCATTGCTGCTACAGTGTGAAACGATCATATAATGTTTTTGTTAGATTTGAACTCAAGCTATAGGCATTTTCTACTTTCAGTATAAAACGTACATAGTGTGTGTTGATATACTGTACATGAAATGAAATTCCAGTTATTAATTTTGTTGCAAACAACTGATGTATTTGCATCATGCATGAAAATTATTTCACATTTTCTACCATGCATCGATTATCATGAATTGAATAACAAATTCACGAATAAATTTGTTCATACAAAAAAATTAAAATAGGTAAAATAAAGAGAAAACGATGAAACGCGTTGAAAAGATGGTATTATTTCAAATATATTCCGAATTGTTCGTAAGTATTTGACAAACATTAAAAATATGAGGATCGAAAAATTGGTGATAACAGCCCAATGAGAATTTGTTGCAAAAAAAATACAGTGCAAATAATTTCAAGAACGGCACTGTCCAATCCTGATTGGGAAACATTTCATTACACAGTTTAAAATTTATGACCGACTTTGGACGAAATTTCGGCTGGTATACGCTCCCAGAGTATATTTCGCCAAAAACTTCAACTAAAAATCCACTTTCAGGCGTATGTATATTCGACTGAAATCTAGGCGAAAGAACGGCTGGAATACAACTGACTCGGAAGAATATAGACTGAGAGCGTATACTAGCCGAAATTACGTCTAAAGTCGAGCGTAAATTTTAAACAGTGTAGGATCGAATAATTTCTTTTATTTTCTAGTTTTAGTTTTTCATCTGGTTTTAATTGAATAATTTAGTTTAAGCTTAATCAAATTAAATATGGTTGCTAGAAATCACGATCACTTCCACCACCATCCACCTAATTGGGATCGTTTTTACATTAACGATGGTTTGCTTTTCTTTCTCTGTGTCACACTCGTGCTCTCCTCATCACACATGATATGCAATTAGAGTCGAATAATAACTTCTGGTTGAAGGTCAACTCTTGCCTACAAATCAAATATTTGATTGAATTTTCTGTGTACGTGGGTATGTGTGTGTTGTGGTGAAACGTTTATGATTATTATTAATAATTTTCGAACGTGCATAAATTTGGTTCGGTTTTGATTTTTACCCCAATATGAATGGCAAGCACACCGATGCCGGACGCGAGTCGAATGTCTGCCTCTCCGTTTTCATCGACCGCAATTTGGTTGCCGGTACATTTGCCATTGGCATCTAGTTGCCCGGTAATAATGTCGCAGTAGACGCCGGACGGCATGCAGGTGAATAGTTTTGCGTTCATTTCGAATGGTTCAATGTTGAAGGCAACGAAGCCGCGAGTACCACGGCAAAAGGCAATTTGATTGCGATTATTGTCCCACCACGATGCGACTGGTGCAGTGCCAACAACGCTTCGAAACTTAACCATATTACGAATTTCCGGCCAACGATGCTCACACACCCAGCCATTCTCACACTGTTCACTGGTCGAATTAATTTTCGGCGAAATTATTTCGCCATTGACATTGGTTGGTGGTCCTGCGGAAGAGAATGAAAAACCAACGCGCACGCATACAGGCGAAATTGTATAATCGCAATGCGAATAGTTGAGTGATCAAATTAATTTGTTGGTTAATTGTTGGAGAAAAAGAGTGAATTCGATACAAAACCATACCTTGATCGAACGACTCGAATTCAAATGAGCTCATTACTTGTGGATGACCGTACGGGTGCGCCAACATAAATGCCGTGGCCATAATGTATCGTTCACGCGATTGGTGTGTCAAAATATTGTGTTCATTGGAACGTTGACTATCATGATTATCAATAAAAACCAATGCATCTTGTGACGGCAGAAAACCCCAGTCGGATCCCCAATTGCGCAGCCATTTTAAATCATTGCGGCCCTTGAATGCTTTTCCGATTTCATGTGCAAACTTGAACTCCGTCACCACTCCCAAGCCTGAGTACTCGGTACTATTGATAGCACGATTCATCGTAGAACAAAAATGTCATCGTTTGAAGTATAAGAAACAACAATTCCACGCTGATTATTTCAGTAATATGCATTTTAAGCGCAATATCTGGCAAACCGTGGACTCATTCGAAATTTCAAAATATAGATTCTTTCTTAGCCTAAAGATTACATCCTCAGAATATTTACAAAATATGTACAAATTATGACGTTTTATTTATGAATTCGTTACGCACTTTTTGATTGCTTCTCCACCGAGATCGATGACTTCTTGGTAGATGAATGGCCTGGAATTCGCCGGGAACGCTTCTGTACTGAGATCATTTAGCCGGCCGTAAATTTCATACAAATCATGCGGCCACATATGTTTTGCTGCATCTACACGAAAACCAGCTACACCCATTGCCAACAATTCATTCATAGATTGCACGATCATATCACGAGTTCTTTCATTCGTTTGATTCAAATCGGGTAGACCTTGAATGTATTATCAGTGAACGTTGAGTTAGATCATGAAACAATGGCATTTTGAACGAAAACAACGTTTTGAATGATAGATTTTGAAAAATCGTAAAAAAAATTGGATATTTTCGTTTTAACGAGAGATGAGTCTCGAGTTTTACACCTACCGACTAGTCCACAGACTCTAACTTCAATTGGATCGTTCCAGTTTTTAATGGTACAAAGCGGAAAGTGAAAATCTTCTGGGCCATATGGAATGGCAGGAAAATACAAATTATCCACATCGGCTGTTGAGCCACCGGTTCCAGTACTTTTTCCCTCTTTGCCAGTCATATGATTGATCAAGACATCGACGTAAATTCGTACACCAACTCGATTGCATCGATCAACCATTGACATGAATTCGTTTTCGTCTCCGGATCGGGTGACAAGTTTATATGAAATCGGTTGATACCGTTCCCACCACGGTCGATTTTCGACAATCACATTTTCCGACACTGGGCTCACTTGTACGCTCGCAAAGCCGTTCGGTGCCAAATACCGTTCACACTCATCAGCTATGTCGTTCCATTTCCATTCGAATAAATGGACCATCACCGAACGATTCGGCACGTAATTCGGATGATGGAGTTTATGATGAAATGCATTTGCCAATGAAATAAGCAATGTTATTAGGAATAACACTCGAACACTCTGACCTTTCATTCTTGTATTTTTGATATATTTTCAACTTCAATCAGTTTAATCAACAAATTAAATCACTGATTCAAGATATTCACAAATGCTTATTTATAAACAGCAAACGGATTACTTGCTCTAGAGAATGTTTATTCAATTGTAACGATCCAAGTGAAATTCACTGCTACCGCTTGATAGAAGTTCGCTAGAGAAGTACTATCGAATGACTGCAATCTCGAGTATTTATACTCAACGAGTGCGTATTTTTTCTCTATGCACTACAATTTCTGTATGTGAACAATAAAAATGATTACACAAAAATCTAATCTAATCGAAAAAATAATTTAATTTCTTCGTCTGTGGTCAATAATTCATTGTCCATTGTTCTATGAATTGTTCGATATTGAACATTTGTTTTGCCTTCTTCTTGATTTTTCTGTTCATTTCGTTTTTTTATTTAAATTTTCTTAATTTAGTAGTTTTTTTACTTGAATATTTTTTTCAGTCGATGGTAGTTTTTGTCATTTGTCAAATGATGAAAAATTTACATTAGAAACAAAGAAGCTGATGAATCGACTTACATCACGTGGCAAAAGTCATTCAAAATCATGCAAAATTATTTACTTCAATTCTAATCGTTTGAAGTGTGAACGGTTTAATTTTTATTTAACACTCAATTGCACATTTCCGCCGTTTTGTTAGATTAGAACTCACTGATAATTTATTACTGCTATTAGTTAAACAGTAATCAAATAAATTACAAGTGTTTTCAAGAACACAGAATGTCAAATCCCGATCGGAACACATTTCATTAGGTCAAACATTTTTATCTGATTTTCTTGATGATTTTTTCATCAGGTTTTAATTAGAATAATTCAGTTCAAGCTTAATCAAATTAAATATAATAGGGATAATATTAATAATTGGGATCGTGCATGTAATGACGATGGATTTGTTTCTCTTTCTCCGTGTCACACTCGCACTCCTCTCATCACCCATGATATGAAATTAGAATCGAATAATAACTTCTGATTGGAAGTCAACTCTAGCCTACAAATCAAATATTTGATTGAATTTTCTGTGTACGTGGGTATGTGTGTTTTGTGGTGAAGCGTGATTATTATTAATAATTTTCGAACGTGCATAAATTTGGTTCGGTTTTGATTTTTACCCCAATATGAATGGCAAGCACACCGATGCCGGACGCGAGTCGAATGTCTGCCTCTCCGTTTTCATCGACCGCAATTTGGTTGCCGGTACATTTGCCATTGGCATCTAGTTGCCCGGTAATTATGTCGCAGTAGACGCCGGACGGCATGCAGGTGAAAAGTTTTGCGTTCATTTCGAATGGTTCAATGTTGAAGGCAACGAAGCCGCTAGTACCACGGCAAAAGGCAATTTGATTGCGACTATTGTTCCACCACGATGAGACTGGTGCAGTGCCAACAACGCTTCGAAACTTAACCATATTACGAATTTCCGGCCAACGATGCTCACACACCCAGCAATTCTCACACTGTTCACTGGTCGAATTAATTTTCGGCGAAATCATTTCGCCATTGACATTGGTTGGTGGTCCTGCAGAATAGGACCAATGTTGTATAATCGCAATGCTAATAGTTGAGTGATTAAATTAAATAGTTAGATGTCGAGAGAAAAATACTGAAATAGATACAAAACTATACCTTGATCGAACGAATTAAATTCAAATGAGCTCATTTTCACTTGCGCCAACATAAATTCCGTGGTTATAATGTATTGTTCACGTGATTTATGTGTCAAATTATTGTGATGGTCTCCTGACCGTTGATTATCATGATTATCAACAAAAACCAATGCATCTTCTGACGGCAAAAAGCCCCAGTCGGGTCACCAATTGCGCAACCCAATGAACACATGTAATGCTAAATGTTTGAATTTTGTGCATATTTTAGTGTAATGCCAAATGTAGCACTAAAAGTGCAAAAATTGTGTAATTTTTGGACCTATTTAGATAAAATTTTGTTTCTGGGCACAATATGTGTAAGAATTGTGCACGATTTGGGAATAAATCTACTATGCACAATAATTGCACGTGTTTGGCTCATTGGGAACCACTGTAATTCATTAGGAATAACACTCGAACAGCCGTACTCTGACCATTCATTCTATTATTTTTGTTATATTTTTAACTTCAAATTGAAGCGTTTGAAGATTTCCACAAATGCTTATTTATAATCAGCAAGTCGATTGCTTGCTCCAAAGAATTTTTATTCAATTCTACCGTTTAACAGTAACTATATAACGAAATACCATAGGATAACTGCAATCCTGAGCATAAATACAGAATGGTTTTCGTTTTTTCGCAGCTAATTTTATCTTTTTCCAGAAAATTCAACGCCCGGATAACCAATATGATTAATCGATTCTACACACCAATCATCAAAATCACAAGGTCATGACATGACACTGATATATTGAATGATGAATAAGGGTCAAAAATAGCTCTGATCAACAAGTGTTTGTAAGAAAGTAATTTAAAGACAAGTTATATCCTAATAACAGTAAATACAAAACAGGAGCAAAATTGAGGGTTATCACTGAATACTATTTAGGTATATTAACAACAAAACATGTCAAGAAACATGAATCAAAACTGTAGTTTGATAAGATAGAAATTTCCATTACATAAATGCTAAAACATGCTTGCTCACTTGTTACCATGTCGCTTCTATCATCAAATTGAATAATGTTTAAAAAAATGTCGAGGAGATGCATTTTCTTGAAAAGAAATTGGGAATAAAACAAAATCGTTTCATCATTCCTCGAAACTCAATTATGATTGACTGGCGAAAAAAAACTGATTGCAACTGATATATCGAAAGACTCAAGTGTCACTTGACTAAAAAAAAAACGAAGTCTACAAAAGGAATTTAATCGTAAAATGTATTTATATACAAATCTAAAGAACTAGGCGTAAATTCTTGCAGATTTTTGTACCATTGTGCTTCCAACTCATGGAAAAGTAGCCGTCGGAGTGCTCGTTCTGTTCACGTTACGTTAAGGCGTACACATACAACTGCGTTAACGTAAAAGGAGTACAGCGATATATTGTATCACAGCACACGATATATCGCTATACTCCTTTCACGTTAATGCAGTTGTGTGTACGCCTTAACGTAACGTGAACAGAACGTGCACTCCGACGGCTACTTTTCTATGAGAAGCAGTAGTAGAGAAAGTACGGACTCAAATACACTGTACTTCAGTACAATTAATTGATAAATAATCATGGCGGCTCCATATTATTGCAAAAAGCACAAATGGTATAAAGCCTTCACACATTCTTTCGTAAAACGAAGATAAACATCTTCATTTCCAGTTAAAAGCAAAATTTGGAGCCTCTATCTATCTACTGTCTAGGGAAGATCTTGAAAGACAAATTTTTGTTCATTGTCTGGCTAGTTCCAAATTACCCTTTCCTTATTGGAGACGAAGAATTATCCAAGGTCGTGGTTCTTCCTCACGTAGCCAAATATCAATCAAAATTCAAGTGTCATAAATCGCCATTCTACACAAACCGCTCAAGTGCGTAGTTTATCTCGTGTGATTTTCACTACACACAATGCTACGATTATTCATTCGAATGCTATGTCGAATGGATTGTTGTGAATAAACAGGTAGTTGGAACGTCATTAAATTTGATTTACGGCCAAAATGGATGCACACACATATACGGCGCGCATTCATAATCAATTTGGAATCCATATAAGATAAAATTAAATTGACCATGAAATTCATTGAATTCAACCCAAGCAGTTAACCAATGAAGCGATTAAACTAAACGCAAACTTGCCAATTGAATCGATATTGTGTGGTATTTTCGTGTGAAAAGATTTCCAATTATTACTATCAAACTTTATGCTAGTGTTGGAGGTCCAAGCCCCCTTCATTTTCAGCTGATTGGATTGCGATATTTATTTTATCACATTTTAACGTGCAATTGAAAAACAATCAAGTTGAAAACTATTTTGTTTGACAATGACATGTCGAGTGGCGAGCAATAAATGAGTAAATGACTAGCTGCAGTTCGGCAGTTTCAAGAGTTTAGATTTAGGATGATTAATGGTAATGTGCCAACGCGTGACTCGTTTCCATATTATAACTGTGCCATGGAAAATCCGCTTCTTCACAAAGTTGTGCTGTACAGCAAAGCTTAGAGCACTGCTTCAGTCCTTAATGAGACAAGTCAGTTGATAGTTTAATATTAAAAGTTGTTTCTTGCGGCTATTTACATGCTGAACCTCAATGCCATTAGAGTGTAGATAGTGGAATCAAGTATGCAACCAAAGCGGCACTTTAATTATGTTTGCCACTTGTAAAGTGCATCCCATAAATGGATCTGGGTGAATTTAGAGACAGAAAAAAAATCGATTAACGCAGAAAATAGATGAAAGATTCCAAGCAAAGCCACTTTTCTCCGGAAGCATCAAAGTCGTGCGGCGACAAGATTTACTCGCAAAACTTTTTCTTCTACACCGAGAAAAAACAATCCCAGTGCGGATGAAGATACAATTGCAGTGTTTTTTTGTTCGCACTTTGTACGGATTTTTCACATTTAACCAGATAATTTTGGTCAACGTTCCGTGCGCTTTAATTTAACTTCGGAATTGATTAATCACTTTTTTCCCTTCGTGTAATTATTTTGCTGTTCTCTCTGCATCGGCTCATCTCTTGATCCATTTTTTTCAACTGTTTTTCTCACACTGCCAGTCACTCTCTCGATTCCATTCAAAATGAAAAAAAAAACCAACTTCAGCAACGATTTTCTTGCTGCACTCTCGCATCGTTGTTGTTCTCTTCGCAAAAGTTTAATTGTATTTGGCAACGAGTTTCGTTTTCGAATCTCTTCTGCATTTTCAAGTGTCGAAATTGAGCGCGTTCGCCCGCCCGGAAATGGAAACCCAACCAACGACGATAGATAAATAATTTACCCAAACAGTCACAATGAATGAAACTCCCGCAGCGAAATAAGTCTCGCACAAAGAATGTGAACGAAACATATGTCATGTGGTTGTGTATCTGCATCGGCTGTTGGCAACAACTTGGAAATTAAACACCACTTTCTCAATACGGCTTTTGTTTTCGTCCTTTCTTTTTCTCTTTATTTAACTTATTGAAAAACGCGATGGAAAAACATCGTGGCAAATAATGTGTCGTCGAAAGTTGTTTGAAAATACGATTTCTGGATGGATACAGTTGCATTGTATTGCCAAACCACTTGCACTTTATTCAAATCGTAAGATGGAAATCAACAACAGGAAAAAGTTTCGTCAAGACAAACGAACAATGTATGAAAAGAGAAGGCTTTATGGGTAAATCTTTTCAAATTCGTATTTTCCATTGTTAACGCGGCGTTGAGTTTACTGATTCTGAAAGATGCGAAAGCAACGAAGACGATTACGATGTATCGTTGCTATTGTTTTTCATTAAATTTGACACAATGTTTCGTCGCAAATTAGTCGCTTTTGTCAAAATATTCAATTCTATTGTGTTATTCTTCGCTTTTATGAATTATGTTTCATCCAGACAAATTCAACGCCAAAATTTCAACCACTGACAAAAACTTTGCCATTTACTCCGATGAATTGCAGTTTTGAAAAATGAACTGTGTCTGGTTTGCAATTAATTGTTCCGCTGTCGGTTGCAGAAATGATGAGGAAAATTCGCAATTGGAAAGGAAGATATGATATTCCAACTTCAAAGTTAGTCCTTGTTGTCTGGAAGAGGATTCAATTGCTATTGCATTCTTGTATTTTCTCCTTTAAACACAAATTTGTTGAGTTTCGATTTTTTTCCTACTTTTAATTGTTTCGCATTTTCTTCAATTTTTTCCATTGATATTTTTCCACGTATTTCGATCAATTTGCTATTTATACATTCTCGTTCTATCGAAGAGATTTCATTCCATTCAATATTTCCTTTGATTTAACTTTGACTCTTTTCAAGGAAAAAAATTCAATCAAGTCAAAAGATCAAAAGCAGAAAGGAAAATTGAAATAGTTTTTATGCGCAATTGCCAATCGGAATGTGTAAACAACTATGATATATAGGGATATTTTATTGATTTTCAACCGATTGGTTTTCAAGATGTTTTTTATTAGGGCATGTCATTCAACCGGTCGATATGAAAACGTTTTAATCGTATCATTTCCAGGCAATTTAGAATTTTACGTTATTCACAGTGATTGATTGGAATTCGCGGCCGACTTTTGAATTTTTGTGAACTGTGTTTGCTTTCATTTGAATGAAATTGGTCAGGCGTGACAGTTGCTTTGAACCCAGTTGCTTTGAATACTCAATACCCAGTTACTTTGAATACTTCATACCTTAAAAGTGTAAATGGAAACCGTTTCGCTGGTGTCAATTGACGTACAATATTTGCGTCGCAAAAGATACTTTTGACCGAGAAAGGTTGCTACGAAAATAACAGTCGTGCATTGTGTGTGAAATGTTTACATCTTTGCCTTTCATTCGATTACTCATCGAATATTTATGACGAGGCAGTGAACATTTAAATTTAAATATTGATATTATTCTCGCATCTGTGACGCGCTCTCCACCTCTGTCATCCATGCTCTTGCTCTCGCAAGCTGTGTTGTTTTTTTCACTGGAGGCAATAAAAGGCTCGCCGCTGTACTTTGGAAGGGAGACACCGAGTGAGAAGATAAACAGCGCGG